GTGGATTCTGTGACTGGAGAATGAAGGGCACTATCCTGACAGGTGGAGGCATAATGCCTGACAGTGTCCGCAACAAATCGGTCTTCGAGTAGCTAGAGTGGTCTAGGGATGGTGTTTAAGACAGTAATTCTATTCACGTATTGCTGGTCCAAAAATTTTGCAAAAATCAAATACTGCACTTAGGAATTATCTGCTAGCCACACAACCACTGTCGACTGGAGGAACTTCCTCCGCGAAGTTTGTACCTGGCGGCTTTAGCGGACTCCAACAGTTATCGGCGGCCCAGGTCTACACGTCGAGATCGGTGGGGCGCTAATACCTCGCCGTAAAAACCACGCTGGGCGAGTTCCTCCCCAGAAGTGGATTTTTCCAGGGATCTGTCATCACAAACCGATCTTTGGTGGACAGCTACTTGTGTGGGTTCGGTTGGAGGCAAAGGTGCCGAAAAACGGACCTTTTCATGCAAATTATTAATGACATGTCCCAATTTCACCCTCTTCAATAAAAACTAAAAGTACAGATTCCATATCCTCTTTTATTCTAATGTTTTTGTGTGGCGGGGGCTAATTTTTTGGTGGCGCATTTCTGGAAAAGATTATCTATCCATACCAGGTTTGTGTTTGCACGCTCGCTCGTTCACGGTGACGTGTTCGTCCTTTGTTATTGATTTAGCATTTCGTTATTCAGCAAGAATCTTTTTGGGTGGCGGGGGCTAATTTTTTGGTGGCGCATTTCTGGAAAAGATCCGTTATCCATACCAGGTTTGTGTTTGCACGCTCGCTCGTTCACGGTGACGTGTTCGTCCTTTGTTATTGATTTAGCATTTCGTATGGTATTCAGCAATTGTGCTTTTTGATGTTCGCTCACACCAGCATACACTCAATTACAGTCCGGTTCTATGTTGTTCTTCCCCCCAAGCCTCTGGATCAGATTCAGCAATGTGGGCCACCAACCACGACGCACACTCAGAATACGAACAGATACGACTGCGTTCCTGAACACATCAGTTTCTTGTCACCTTGAATAACCCCCGTCAACCGTTCTACTTATCAACTATCAGTGTAACTGACTTCACCAAGTTGCGTTGTGATGAACACTCTTGAAAACCTCGCCTAACTTTGTGTTCGCAGTTGGCATTCAGTGCAAACCGTTTTTTATCGACGAGACAATAACGAGCATACTAAGCTACTCAATTTCGTTTCGGGCGTTTATTTTCACGCCAGCTCTTCCCAACTCGACCGCAGCAGCTTCAAGCTTCTCTTTAAGGCGTGCCTGACTTTTTGCACACACGACCCAATCGTCGGCGAAAGCAAAACCATCTACTAAGGTGTCATGGAACTGGTATCCCAGTTGCGACATCCACAATCCAAGAACCTCATCCATTGCCATAATGAATAATATTAGGGAGAGTGGACCCCCTTGCCTCACACCTCTGTGGCGGTGAACCTCGGAACTCGGGAAAACTGCTACAGCATTCTCATAGGACCATAAAATTCGGAGCTCAAATCTTGCAGCACACAGCAGTATGAAACGAAAACTCGGGTGATCAATAACCAGACAATCGCTCTATGATCAGGAAAGGACTGTTCAAACAAGTGCGGGATGGACACAAATTGTGTGAATATCTCAGGCACTCCCAACTGATCAAAAGTTTTTGTCGCTGTTTGGCAGGGATGTTGAGTGGTTCAGTCGATTGATGCCATGTTGATAATAATTCTGTAAGTCCCTGAGCTACTCATGAGTAGTCAATTTCAAATGCGATTTCACCAATGCACCTTAATGCGGATCACCGTCAACCCGCTTTGGGCGCAAACAGCAAGAATGAATTGGCTGGTCCGTTTTAAGGACAAAAAGAAGAAACATGCGTAAACCGTCCACTAACCTGACAGTCGAAAGGGAAATGCTTCAGTTCCAGAGTTTCGTGGAATATTCCTTTGATTCGTCGCTTCTCTACCAGATAGGCTTCAAAATCGGGTTCGACAAATTCCACCTCATGGCTAACTATTTCTATCGGTTCGCCCTGGGCATTGTCCAACAGAAGGCGCGGATTCCAGAATTCATCGTCTTGTAGTTTTAACTAAATGGGTGGAAAACAGAAAAATGACAGTTAATTTGCATTTTTGAGGTATCGTCAAATGTTAAACGTAAGTTTCTCGAGGGTATTTAGTAACAATGCACAATGCGTCATAATGGTGCAAGCAAGCGCGTTGTCCATTCCAGGGAACCGAAAAAGGTTTCTGGGGTCCATAATCCGATAAACTTGGAAGCTACGCAATTACTTGTCGTCATAATTGTCTTGTTTCGAAACAAAACAATCAATGATCAGCACTTGAAGAAAAATTCGTGAACAAGCGTCTATTTTTTCACTTTGCCGCAAATATCCTCCCGGAGTTCCCAAAAGTGATTCATCCAAGGGCAGGTGAAAGCTGTCCGATTGAAACTGGCGTAGAATTCTACGGGTTGCTGAAGAATGCATCCTGTCTTGAGAAAAAAACTCGCCATTTCGACAGGCTGGGATGGATGGATGTCGGTTTTTCATAAAACCCGTTTTGGTTTGTTCGCTGAGCTTCGCAGTCAGCTTGCAGAATTTTCATCACCATTTGAGTATTTTCCTTCCAAGGTGACGTTTATACAACTATAAAAGTGGTAAACAATCGGTGGTTTTTATTTGGGCAACGTTTCGCTTTTGACAGGCCGCTTCATCAGGCCAAGTGAACAGGTCACCAAATTGGCCAGGTTAAAAGACAGACGGGGAACCAGTCAGTAAGTCCTCAAACTAGATCAGTGTTGCGTATCAAGTAACGGCTCTTGTCGGCTAGTGTGGGTGCCAAAATCTCGAATTGATGGGTTGGAGAAGTTCCAATTGCACTTGACCTCAAACCTCCTCACACTAAATTGTCGGAGCACTCACAACCCCACAAAGACCAGGGAAAGTCTACCAGTGGCACCCGAGGTGAATCATCAAGTGAAGCCCCTTGGAGTAGAAGACTAAGGAACGAAAAGCGATTGGAACCNGAATATCGTAGTGACTGAAACATGAGGCGGTCTGGTGCAGCACATTCAGTTGCCTGAGAACATCACAAAAGAGAGATTCAGCTGGGTTCCAGGTGAGTCTCTCGCAAAACCAAATTCGTTTGCAAGTGAGTGTATATTCGCTAATTTCGTGCAGTTTGGTTTCAAATAGAACCCGGGGACTGTACCTACCTGAAGAGCCCCAAAAATGGGCGAAACCGGTCGTGGGCTGTCGTCGGATTTTCAGCAACCTTATGAGTAGTATAATTTGGAACTCCCCCAACCCATCAATTCAAGTTTATGGCACCCACACTAGCCGACAAGAGCCGTTACTTGATACTCAACACTGATCTAGTTTGAAGAGGATTTACTGATTGGTTCCACGTCTGTCTTTTAACCTGGCCAATTTGGTGACCTGTTCACTTGGTCTGATGAAGCTTTTGTGTCAAAAGCGTAACGCTGCCCAAATAAAAACTACCGATTGTTTACCAAGCTCTTCTGAAACGATCTCAATCCAATCGATTCCAAACTTTTTCCAATTGATTGAAAACTCTTAAAGTGGTTTCTATAGCGGTTATAACGGTGGTTGTAAGCCAACTGAATGGCACCTTATTCCGTTCGCATCTCTGGGATGTTGTGATATACCCCTTATGTATCTGATTGGTCCATTGGATCCCATGCTTGTGATAAGTCTTTTCGCTTCTCTGATTGGTCAACTTCCGACGTTCTGGACCGCCATTCTTTTGTTCCCATGGTTCTGGTTATCGAATTCTCAGGTTTTTCCAAAAAATACTAGGCAGTTTTGATCTCGGTACACTTGTTAACTGCTTTCAGGTTGATCTATCCAGCTCGCTAGGTTCGGTTTATTATTTTCTTGTTCTTATTGGGTCTAGCAGCGATTTGTTTGCATCCATGTACCCTCCCTGGAACGGACATACAGAGATAATCACAGTTGCTTGTGTTCTCCAATGGCCAAATTCTGTCCGCTAAAAGTTTCTGTCCGACATAAAGTTTGTCAAAATATTTACACTGAATTTCGTAGGTGATCCTAATTCCTATAGCTACACCTGGTGACAAAACGTTTGGAAGTCAGTTGCCAAGAGGGGAAAACAGATCAACAATCACACCAACGATAAACGCGTCTGAGAAATCAGTAATTCAACAAACCGTCAAACGGCCGGAACAGTAGATCATCCTGGATCATGGATAGAAGAGTAGTGGTTTACTCACCGTTTACACGCTTAATGTGGCTAGTCCAGATTAGTCGTTATCCATACAAGCAGGAGGGCCAGACTGCTCAACAAGAATTCAACAACCGAAATCATGGGGGTAGCTCTGCACTCCTCTGAGGAGTTATGTGGGAATCGCGATACTGAGTGAAAGGTAAAAGCCCACACAGTCATCGTCCGTACACGTTGAAGGTAAAATAATCTTGACTGATTTGCCTCACCCCTTGTAATGGTGGTCGCTGTTCGGAGATGTGCGTTGGCCGACTGGACTGCTAAACTTTCCAAGAGAGTGATAGCAAGGAGACCTTCATCTGGAGGCCGTGTACCGATAAAAGTCTGGACGATTTTTACAGCAAGACGTGGTGAGGCTCTCGTCTAAATACCAGTCTGCGATCTTATTCAAACGGACAGCTTGGACCAAGTCGATTGGATTTTACGAGTGGTAAAAATGTGTCCGGTTTCAAGTGGAAGCTGCGTTTCTGCGGAGTGCCTGTCACTGTGAACTGTAAGCATGAACCTATTATCGCTCGCGATCGGTGGGGATGTTTGATCACATTCATTTAGTGGAGCCAAAACATGCTGAAAAGCCGGGAAGAACTGTACAACTGTTTCATCCTTGTTGGGAATCAACAGAAGTGCGCATCTCACGAAACACTGGAGAGTTTCGAACCCACGACCATCTGGACAGTGGATGAACACTGCCCTTTGGCCAAGAGTGGCTGGTCAGTAGTGTGATCAGCTTTCACTAAGACAGGACATAGTACCACTCATCCTTCAATATCGGAAGTCCACATCACATGATCACATGTTGACTGGCCTTTCGAGTTTTCAGAAGGAAGTTTCACAATCCAGTGAGGTTTTGCTACCTATGAGCACGCTCATTGTCTCATAGTGATCCCCTTATCAATTTGGCGGACAAGTTGAGCGGTACTTCTCATGCCAACAGTTTGTTTATTCCAAGACAAACTGTCCGACCAGATGAATCACCAACTCGGCTCACGTCACCACCAATCACCATTAAGCAAGAAGAATAATTTCTCCAATGAGCGAAACTTTCATAAAGGAAACTGCTCATAAGGTTGCTGAAAACTCTTCGACAGCCCACGATCGGTTTCGCCCTTCTTGGGGCTCATCGGTCCCCGAGTCTACATCAACATTATGTTCTACTTGAACCCAAATTGGACTATTTCCGAGAAATACACGGACATGTTGGGTGGTACTTCTCAATTATAACGATTTTTTATTCGAAAGTCAACCATGCGACCAGATGAATCACCAACTCGGCTCACGTCGCCGCCGATCACCATTAAGCAGGAAGAATAATTTCCCCAATGAGTGAAACTTTAGTTCGAGAATTTGTCACTCGAGCAGCTAGTAGGTGGTGTGGTCTCCGTAAATGTCCAGCCTGATTAGTCAGCCACTTTGCTGATCAGCCAATCATGGCCAAACGGTTATGTTCAACCGCTGACCGGAAGGTCACAGGCTCGAAACTCTCTGAGTTTGGTGAAATGGTCACTGTAGACGATTCCCAATAAGGATGAAACAGCTGTGCGGTGTCTCTCGGTTTTCCAACATATAGTGGCTTCAAAGACAGGAGGAAGGCTCTGTTGAACTTTACCAAATCTCTTCATATCACTGTCACTTCCTAACAAGTGTCCTCAACTCAGTGGACCCTTAGTTTATAGGGTGACAAAAAGCTGAACTTTCCTACGGCCAATGAGCAAGCGACTCATTGCACAAATCTTTCAAGACGCTTATCCAAGAATAGCAAAAATTGTAACATATGCAGAAGGCAGAATCACCTGCGCATCAACCTGTGATTTACGCTGACTAACAAAGAAAAACCAAAGGGATACCGGGAAAAGTCATCACGGTTACCCTTACACTCAGATTCACCGTCTGAACTTTGGCCAGGAAATTTCAACTTATCAACCACAGTCCAACTAGGTAAGCGGTATCAAGTCGTTATCACGAGAAATCTATGGTTCACTGCCCTACTTACTGCGAAGCACGATATGGACCCCGGGAAATTTGACAAGACTCCGTAATTCCTTCTCTTACGGACCATCACCGAGTGAAGTCATAGAACCCTCAAGCATCACATTCTTGACGTTCGAGATAACACTGGACCAAATATTAAACACCTTATCGGTTTAGATGAAGTGAACGTTAGGCGAGTCGTCTAGATGTTTGTTATTTCAAAACATTTGTTTTGCTGACAACAACCCGTGACTGCCGATGTAACGGTGGTGGATACTACTGATGAGGCATGTGAGTAGTATGTTTTCTCGCAAATCCGCTTTGTCTCTTGAAAAGTAAGAGCTATTAGGGAATTTGTGGAGTCACTCTGTGGCATTTACTTGCATTTTAGTAACAGTCAAATAATATTCAGGAAAGTTCAGGAAGGCGCCTTCAAAGAGAAGATGGATATTCAGTTTTTGTAAACAAGATGTTGTAACTCCGCAGCGAAGGTCTTCTTTCTTTCACCAGCAGTCCACCAGACACGAAAGATTGATCCGAAGTCGTGTGTGATTTCTTGCATATCCGTCTTACCGCCTGTCTCCGTCAAGACAATCATGCTTGAAATGGTCATTCTATGAAGCGCTCAAGGGCGACCAAAATTGCAGTACTGATAGAAACCAGAGAGAAAACGCATGAATCCATAAAGCTAAGAACAGAAGCCGTGTTCACTGATCCACTGGTTGGTAGCTCGAGTCAGTCTCGAATATTAATGCCTCAGTCAGCTCAGTTGGTGATTGACTCTGAGCTGCCCATTTTAGTCGCTAGAACCCCTAATATGACCTTTTGAAGGTCACACGTTCCCACCTAGACTTCT